TCCCCGCCAACCCGGCCGCTCCCGCCCACCCGCCACGGCCACAACTTCGGTTTCTCGGCCGGCAGAGAGGAACCAGGGAGAAGATCAGCCGATTTCTCGTGCCGCGGTTTCAAATCTGTTGGCCGCTGCAGCCTGCAGCGTTGCCAGGGACTTTGCTCACGCCAAGCTGAGCAGCCAGACCAGAACTCCTCTGCTCCTACGGCTTCGTTAAGCAAGGAGCCCTAACGAAGAGGAATTACGGCGCTGGCTACGAGACAGGCATAACCTGCTTTTTCTCTTGCTGCTCCGAGTTTTTTAAGGGCTGCCGGGATGAGCCAGGATCGAATTCTTCATCTTCGGTCACCGGTGGCAAAGCAGCACCCAGAGAGCGACTCTGCTCCGGGGGAAACCCATGGGTGCATCCTTCCAGCTACAGAGTCCACCCCACCACCGGCCAGCGTACGGCTCTGCCATCTCAGAGATTTTCAGCTTATGAAAAGGGAGTCGGTAGCCAGGATGGAATGATTTTATAGCCGTACGGCTCTGAGAAACCTCACAGGGTTAGGAAATTCCCAGCTGTGGGGATTTTGAGGGATATCAGGTCTTAAAACCGCGCCTGTAATGAGGAGCGGATACAGCAAACGCTAAGATGTCGACTTCTGCTTTATCACAGGAAACGATCCCGAAAACGCGCCGCGATTCCCACCGGGGAAGATGGAAGAGCCTGTCGGTGCTGCCAGCAGTGTGACGGGCTCACTGGGCAAGCCCGGTAACGAGGAGGAAGAACTAACGAGCCAGAGAAGCCAAACAGCCCTTTGAGCTGTTGATGAAGACGTTCCCAGCAAGACGTGGCGCTCCGGGAGAAGGCGGCAAGAGCCGGCTGCCGCCAGGAAAACCGTTTTGGTCCCAAGGTGTCTAAGTCACCGATGGAGCTCGGGGATGAAGAGGGCCATGGCAGCACCAGGGCTGCGGTCCCAAGAGCTGCGGCGGTGCCTTTTCCTACGCTGGAAAGGGCAGCGGGGAACGGGCCGACGCCGGCCAAACCCACCGCGTTCTGTTGGGGGAGCGGAGCTGGTTGTGCCGGATTGAGCTGCGGCACAGCAGGGTGCTCCACGCCAGCCAAACCGCAGCCCAGAGGAGAGATGGGAAGCAAGAAAAGTCGGGGAGAAAAACGTGAAGGGCTTAGAGGGCAGAGAGCCAGTAGTTTTCCTGAAATCCCAATGGGAATCCCTGTTTGCCCAGTCAGGGAAGACCATCCCCTCTGATAGTCGTGACCAAGCGGTACATATCTCCCTGGCACGGCGGTCACCAAACACCGGCTCCTCCGTCGAGCTCTGCACCCTCCCAGCCACCAAGGGATGCCTGGTTTGACAGGAGTAGGATGGGAAAAGCCAGGAATTTCATCGGGGAAAAAAAAACAACAAAAAAAACCAAACTCACTTAAATTGAGGGGTCCTTCCTCATCCGCCTGCGGCCACTGCGCTTTCGGGGAGCTCTGCAGGGGGCTCAGCGAGAGCTTGGAGCTCTTCTCCTCGGGGTTTTTCGGAGACGGGGACCCCGAAAGAGCGGGTGGCACCTTCTTAAGGATGGGGGATCCTGGTTGCGAGAGATTTTTTGAGAAGCCGGGAGGGGATTTGATGGCTTTATTAATGGGACCATCCGACGGGCGATCGCCGGCCTTGCCGAGCGCCAGGAGAGCGGGTCGAGGGGAACCGGTGGCGGCATCTTTGGGGGAACCGGATTTTTTGCCGAGGGTGGGAGACATGGGGCTGCCGTCGGGTTTGCCTTTTTGCTTCATCAGTTCGTAAAGCAAATCGATGGGAGCCCCGCTGCTCTCCGATTCGGCTACGCCGAGTTGCCGTAGGTGAGAACGGGCATGGCTGGATAAACCTTTGCGGGTTTCGAAGCAGGCGCCGCATACTTCGCACGTCGTAAGGTTCTGGGCTAAAAAGAAAAAATAAAGTTTAAAAAAGAAAGAGAGAGAAAAAACCAAAATCAGGGCACAGCTGTGGGAGGAGGCACAAGGAGCAGCATCCGGCCGTGCCGTTTCTCCCCCCACCGAGCGATTTTTACCACCCCTAACCCTGATTTTGAAAATTAAGCTGCTCCGCGCACCCCTGCGCAGGCGGGAATAAAGCGGGGAAGAGCCAGCAGAGCTGTGGGAGGACAAAGATCGCTGCTCTGGGGTGGAAGGAAGCCCGTTTTCCCACTCGAGGATGTTTTCCAGAGTGTTTTTGGAAGCTTTGTCCGCAATCGGTGAGCCGCAGGCAGGCTCCTAAGCCCAGCCAGCGAGTGAGAGGTATCTGAAAGCGATCGTTTTAGGGGAACGTCGTTAATTAGGAGAGGAAGGACTGACTGACGTGGTTTAAGGAGGACAGGGAGTGCACGTCAGTCCCAGCAAGCTTTGGAAAGCTGCTGGCACCAGGGAAAGAAAAGCGATGTAAACCAGCGACACTGGAGTACAACATGGCCACGTGCTTAATTAGAGGATTAATTAAGGAAAAGGACCTGCAAATCCTCCCGGATCGGGTTAAACAAACGCCCACCAGGCTCCCCGCTCTCTCCTCGCAGCAAAAAATCCAGCGCTGGGGTGTTGGAGACAACGAGAAGCCACGAAAAATACTCACATTTGGCATCCTGAGGCTCTGGTTTATTCCCGGGTGGCTCAGGAGACAGTTTGGTCCCTATCCTGGTGGGGGGTTGATCCAGCTGCCCGGTGGGAGCACTTTTTTTCGGTGGGGTGGGGTGGACCGCCCCTCCATAGCCACCAGTTCTTCCTCTTCCGGAGCCAAGACTGCCAAGAAAAGGAGATCATTAGCCCCCCGAGGGTGGATAACGTGGCTGAGAGAAGTCGGCGGGAGGAGATGGTTTCATTATGTGAAGGTTTAAGCTGCTCCAAAGAGTTCAAAACGAAGAAGCAGAGAGAATGGGGCTCTGCGTGGGGCTGGTGGGTTTTTTTAAAGGGGGACACCCACCCCGGTGGGACGTGAGGCATCGCTGGGATGGCAGTGACCTGCTAGTGGGATTTGGGGGTGCTTGGGGACAGTGGGGGGACAGGATGGTGGCATTTCCCTGCAGGAGGGGAGATGGTGGCAGCTCCTTGCAGAGGAAAGGGGGGAAAGGGTGGCAGCTCCTTCGTAAGGGACGGTGGCAGCT